CAAAATATGATTTATAAATGCATTGTACCCATGGTACAATAAGGAGGTAGAACAGCTTCGTAAAACTACAGAAATACAGCCCTGATGCTATGCCCGCTTCCTGTCAGAATTATTCAAATAGGCAACAAGTTGTTTTCATTTATTGATATTTTTGTCCATGTGTTAAATGAGGTCAAATAGCACGGAAGATGAATGAAATGCCTGGATGTTTCTCAAATATAGGATCCTAAGTCTTCAATCCTTAAATCCATGGCAAATCACGTTAATACCATTATGCGCGCCCCGCAATTTAAGTTTCTTCCAATCATTGATTCTGAAAAATTTTGTGTTTTTATTTTTCAAAACAACAAATACATACACAAAATGGCAGAAGGCGGGCACACTTAGAAAAATTGTAATCAGCTGGGAGCTCTACCTTACCTTTTTATTGTACCATGATTGTACCTACACAAATCAGAGAGGGGACCCTACTTTCTATGCAGTGAAACTTGACAAGGTTAATTACAGAAAATGCAAAGATGGGAATGTTTATTTGAAATGACTTGACCTTCTTAATTTACCATGCAGATGACCTATATTTTCTAATTAAACAAAGTTTGGCTGACCAAAAACTTTCAATCACAAAAAGGCTTTGTCTAAAAATAAAACAGCAAGTTTACGATAATGATTTATTACATAAATTACGTTGTTTTCGCTTCATCCAAAAACATTATTGAAACTCTAAATTAAATAATTATCTCCTGTTCACATCTGTGTTTCTCTTGACTTATATCATGTTCACAATCGACCGATTTGAACATTTCGTTAGTTTTTTTTTAATAGCTGTATACACTAAACGCATACACTTTGTTGTTGTTTTTACAACCGTATTTAAGAGAAGTCGAACAAGCCTGGCTTTCTTTTGAACTACTTTATATTATTCACCATGGTACAATGAAATTAATATAGCCTTATTTCAAAGTAGCATTCCCAGCTCTGCATTTTCTGTAATATACCTTGTCAAATTTCAATGCGTTTCAAACAGTTCCCATCTCGATTTTGTGTGTATACAAAAGATTTATGAAAATATATTTTGAAAATGAGATGTTTCAAATGTATAGATTTGAAAAATGGTAAACATATGATTACAGACTTTACCTTCTTAATTACCAAGCTATTCACAAAGCTATATGGCAAATATGATATATTAAATTTCGATTTGACATATGAATTGGAAAGTTGAAATCCACTGTATTTTTTGATCTGTAAATATGTTTTAGGTTAGTGGTGTTGTACAGTACATGACACAGGTGTTAAGGTGGGAATACATAAAGCGCTTATCGGCTGGCTTCGGCGAATGACAAAGGCCTAGGGCCAAATCGAACTAAGTCAACCTAAATCTCCTTTGTTCATCTACGAAAAGCCAGCCAAATATGCGCTTTATGTATTTCCACCCTTAAGGCTCTATCAGACGGAATGTTTTCAATGTTTTCAGCACTTGCACATACCGTGTGATACATGGACGACATTTCAGTTGTAAATTCATGAGTTAAAGAACGTTTAGTTTTGCAAATCCACTCGATCTTAACTGCCAATACGTCAAATTATATCCATTGGATTTTTGAAAACGATTACGTTTGATAGAAGAATACAGGTAGTCGCATTGACACAGCTGCTGAGACAATAAACTGTCAAACTAATTTCGAAATTGAAAATTTGAATGAAAATTATGTAAATTCGTAAAAAATGTTGAAAAATTAAATATTATAACAATCTCCGACTGGCGTCGAATAAGAACACATAAAAATTCTACTTATTTTTGAAAACATTTCAAAACTTTTGAGATATCAAGTTCCCAAACTTGATGCATCTATCTATATTCTTCTACCACCATGTATACGCTATGAAGTTGACAATCAAATTGATTAGTAGTCTAAACGTGATCAAAAGCAAATATGTCCCTTTTCGATCAAAAGCAAATATGTCCCTTTTCGATCACAGCGTTCCCTATTTTTATACGAAAACGTACAATCTATTCTAGAACTTGCAATAATTTACTAGTTTAATTTTTTTTTGTCGATTTTTAAAAGAAAAACCGGGTGTCATATTAAAAAGTTCTCTCTAATAGTGTCTTTATGAATGAAAGGCAAATTAAGTCGTTATGCATTGTCGCTTGGAGTTAAGGTGATGATACATAAGCAGCTTGGAATTTTGGTCAAATTATAAGGGAAAAACAACTTAAGGATTCAGTGTGGCTCTAACATCCCTTTATGATTTGTCACAAAATATGCCACGCGTAGAGGAGCAAAGTAAATACATAGAAGTATAAAGATGGGACAAGACAGAGTCAAAATATGGCAACCCTGTGAAAATATTTCTGTTGCTATGATATCGTAACAACATAGTTAGCATTGATAAACGATTTAAACCGTTTAGGAAATGAGTAATTATTGGGAAAGTCTATGGAGAAGAATTTTGAAATCCTATTTGTGGATTTTTCAAATTTTATTTGTCATTTTTTTCTATAAATGTGTTTTTTTATATTAACATGGTCCTGTCATGAGCTGTTATTGTAGATAGTATAGACACAAACCATCTACTCAGAATGCATTTGTCTAGTCTTTACAATTGTAGGTCTTTGAACAAAGGAGTTTTAGGTTGACTTAGTTCGATTTTGGCCCTACGCTCCTTTATTTAAACCCCGTTTTATGTATTCCCACCTTAAGGTGATGATACATAGGCATATTGGCATGGCATATTAATGTCAAATTATAAATGTAAGCGACCGCGGGATTCGAGTGCGTCTCAGACAGTCCTTTATGATTTGTCACAAAATATACCATGCCATGATGCCAAGCTGTCTATGTATACTCACCTTTATTATATGCTAATGAAGCGTTGCATCACGCTTTCACCTGCCTCACAATTTACAAACGCAAACCCAAGATAATTATAATTGTTTAGCCAACGTGCTACCATTTCGCTTGAAATGCAATTTTAACATTGAACCTGTGTTTGAACTTTAGCAGTGCAAATTAAAAAAAGCTATAATTCATAAAAGCAAGTGATTTATGTCTTATTGTTGTTGTTTTTAGCCAGACAAAGCCAGTTTAGTATGGCCTGAATAAATAATAAGAATAATAAATATTATTTAATTTTGTTTACGCCCCAAAATAGAAATTAATGTCTTGGATGGGAAAAGGGGGCAATTATGAATAAATTTTTGGGAATTCTCAGCAGTTTGACCTACTTAACAAATTGGGTTCCGAATTTATTTACAATATCAAAAATTGATTAACTTACCTGTTCTTCACCATCATATGGGCCTGACGTTTCTTATAGCCCTTGGCAAAACGTCTTTGCATTTCCTTCGCCGTATCCTCTAACATTTCCTCTTTGCTTGGCAGTTCTTTGTTACCCTTCCAAAATGCCATCGTAAATCGCGACTGTAAATCCATCATTTGAGCGGCACACACATAATAGGGTATTCCAATTAAACTCATTGTAGGATATTCAATATTAATGCATGTTTTGTACAGTGGCCGCACCCAATTGTCATCAACATAATTCCGCAGTTTGAGGATAAAAATGGAAATGAATATTTATAACCGTACAATAGAATAATGCTATAGTTTCTTTTTCGTTGTGGTGACACCACAGTGGAACCCTTAATATAGGATACGTCGGGTTTTGATTGACATTTGAACGAAATTTGGTTTTTGGCGTTTCCCGGCATATGAGGCTTAGCGTAACAACGTTTCGCCACTTTCGATATTTCATGACACAAATCCATGCCACTGGGACCAGCTCCAATAATGAGAACAGGTTTGATCTGGAAAAAAGAGGCATATGAAAACGTTAACGAGGTAAATTAAATGAGGCAAACGTCAAATGTCAAAATATTTTCGATTTTTCAATAACCGAACTACTTTCGAACGGTCACACAACACCATTTTCAACCTAATGATCCCTATCCATCTATTACACAATGTTCACACACACACCTTTTTCGTGATATATTCATGGTAAAAGAATACAGGTAGTCGCATCGATACAGCTGCTGGGACAATGAACTGTCAAACAGATTTGGAATTGAAAATCTTGAATGAAAAATTATTGAAATTTGTAAAAATTGTTGAAAAAATACATTTCATTACAACCTCCGATTTGCGTCGAATAAGAATAGCCCGGGGTCCAATAAGTGTACGGAAGTAAATAGCAAAATGGTTCGAAAAGTAAAGAAGCAACTTGATCGAAACTCGCATGGCCGAAAATGGCTGGTGAGCTGAACTATCGCAATATTCTATTCGGCAAATATTGAAAAATGAGCTCGCGGTAAAGCCGTTGAAATTCCAAAAGTGCAGAACTTACACCGCATCAGAAAGAAAATAGACTTAAAGAGCTTAAAATTTGCTTCGCTTGGCCGAAAGTGGTGAACTGCCGAATTTGGTTTTCTCCGATGAGAAAACATTCGTTGTCCAGCAGTTTGTAACAAACAAAATCATCGTGTTTACCTGCCAAAGAGGTCAGCTGAAAATGTGCACCTTCGGTTGGCCACCAGAACTCAGGCGCCGGCCATGGTGATGTTGTGGGCCGCCATAATAGCCGATGGTCGCTCTCCGCTCGAATCAATCGACCGTGGCATCAGAATAAATGCCGAATATTATGGCGTAAATATTCTAGAGGGTTATTCGAGCCTTGGGCTCGCAAACATTTTGGCCGCAGACCTTGGACACAGGACTCAGCACGCGCCACCCAAGAATGGTTACAAAATGAGGTACCTCGCTTAATTTCCAGCGTACAATGGCCACCAAAATCTCCGGATACCAATCCGTTGGACTATTGTGTCTGGAGTATTTTGGAAGGCAAGGTTGACACTAAAAATTTCCAAAGTGTCGATCAAGTAAGCGCTTCGCCGGAAATGGGCTGCAGAGCAAGATTCGGGCAGCGTGTGACGGTTTCATTGGCCGTTTGAAGGCCATAATTCGTGCCAAAGGTTTCAATTCGAACAAAACTAAACTTTTTCTAAAATTTGATGCTATTTCCGATATTTTTTTTTTTTTTGATTTCATTCAATAAAATTTACAAAAAAAAATGTAAAAATTATGGCGTTTGGTTTTGTTGCAGTTTTTTATCTCACCCTATTGCTTGTGTTCTACAACCGGTCGCTATGGCAGGCAATGATAAATGAAAACGATACAAAAATACCGTTTATCATGGACAACGCATTCCAAACCTAATGATCCCTACCCATGCATGGGAACATTGATATGTCAAAATTGTTTAATTTTTTTTTTTTCAAAAATAACTAGATTTGTTTATGTTTTACGATGCCAATCGGAAGTTATGATAAGTATTTTTTAAAAAATTTTACAAATTTCAATAATTTTCCATTCAAATATTTCAATTCCAAAATTTTAGTTGGACAGTTCATTGTCCCAGCAGCTGTTTTATTCTTCTACCAAGATCCCATGGTAAAATTAAGAAGGTAAAGTTATTTCATATAAGCATCCCCATCTCTGCTTTTTCTGTAATTTACCTTGTCACACTTCACTACATAAAAAACAGGTTTTTTTAAAAAAAATTTAAAAAGTTTTTTTTTTTCAAATATAAGTAGATTTTTATATGTTTTCTTATACGACGTCATACGCAGGTTATTATAATTCGTGTTTTTCAAAAATTTTTTCAAATTTAAATAATTTTTCATTCAACATTTTCAATTCCAAAATTGGTTTGACAGTTCATTGTCCCAGCAGCTGTGTCGATGCGTCTACCTGTATTCTTCTACCATGTCCCTATTCATCTATTACACAATGTTTACACCCACTAACTCTTTTACTGATATGTCTAATAGTTTTAAATTCATGAAAAAAACATTGATTTATTTGCATTCGCAATTATATTTCTTTTTCACTGTCAAACAGACAGTGTTTGGTGTTTTCTAATCGCTGACTAAAATGAACGACCACACGAGCAAGCAATGATAAATAAAAGCGTTTATCATTGACAATGCCATTATCAACCTAATTATCCCTATTTACCTATTACACAATGTTCACACCCACTAACTAACCACCACCACTAACCAGCTTTCAATAAATAACTAAATAACCAGTCATGGACACACCTTACTTTCAATTTTCGCTACTTAGCCATGTATATTTTACACTTACCACGAAATCGTTCCGCATTCTTGTAATCATGACTATGTATTTGTTGACCTTGAAATGTTTCTGAACCTTTGATGGAGGGATAAAGTGGTGTATGATAATGGCCATTGCATATCATAACGTAATCGTACATGAGGAAATCAACAACACCAGTTTTAAGATTCTTGACAACAACCTACAAAATCGTCAAAATCATATAGGTGTGATAATATTTGCAGATAATAAATAATGAAGGCATATTTACTCACTTGCCATTGATTATCCTTGGCATTATCCTTATGACATAATGCAAAAAGTTGATATATTTCTGCAATTGATATTTTTCACAAAAAATCGCCCAAAAGTTTTCAATCGCCTTCGAGGGAACATACGACTCTTCGTAACCGTCTATTTGAAAATCCGGATAGCCCATAACTTCTTTGGGTAGATTTGTCCTTAGACCCTGATACATGCTGCTATGCACCTCGATGCCATACTCATTGGTGCCCACTTGATCCGTATACACCCAAGTGCCACCAATCTCATTGTTTTGTTCGTAAATTGTTACCGAATAGCCATTTTCGAGCGCACGCCGGGCGGCACACAGGCCTGCTGTTCCAGCTCCCACCACAACGACTCGCTTCATATTTGCAACTGAAAGTTGTTTTGAATTGATTCCGGCGTCGATTCTTGAATGAAATTCAACTCAACAGACAGTATTTAAATCTATGCAACGAGGTTGGCCGTAATCTGGCCTGGTGATACGAAGCCGAGCAAAAGTTTATGATTAAATTAAGTGCATATAGCGCAGAGTATTGAATAAAGAACAAAAATTTTGATAAGAGCAACGGGAAGGCAAACTCAATGTTCAGCAACAACAACAATATCTCAAAGATGTAGTGTCGCCAGATTCCCTCCCTCTTGTAAAACTACCATTACCTGCATATGGCCGAACGGCTTTTGATCTGTCTTATCAATTATGTGGGACATTCACTTAGCGACTGCCGCGATCTATATTTTACGCTTGGCCATAAGGCCATAAGTTCACCCCTTGGGCAACCAAAACACTTGTAGCAAATAAAATAGACAAATGATTGAAATTCTAGCAAATCCAACAAATTTTATGGGAAAATAATTAAAGACAGTGGTTTGCAGTTTCGGGTGCTATCAAACTTGACATTTCGAGCAAATTAAAAACAAAAGCCTTTAAAATATTGTTGATAACCAAAGAATAAGATAAACGGGCACATAAGAGAGCGGAAAGGTTTGTTTACATATAATAAATAAAAATGTTTAAAATTAAACGAAATGTCAAGATTTGTTTACGTTTTGTCAACTCTTTGTTTATCTTTTGTAATGGGCATGCTAGAAAAATACCGGTAGATGCGTCAACGCTTGGGAACATTAATATGTCAAAAAATTTTGAATGTCTTTTAAAATATAAATAGATTTTATATGTTTTCATATACGACGTCATTCGGAGGCTATTATAATTCGCGATTTTCAACAATTTTTACAAATTTAAATAATTTTCCATTCAACATTTTCAATTCCAAAATTGGTTTGACAGTTCATTGTCCCAGCAGCTGTGTCGACGCGTCTACCTATATTGTTCTACCATGGTAATGGGTCTCCAAAAAAGGTGTTTTGACAACTTGTTTAGACTCCTATTGATTGTACCGATCAAATGGTCCCCAATCAGATTCAAATCCGATTTAGAAGAATACAGGTAGACTCATCAACACAGCTACTCGGACAATGAACTGTCAAACCAATTTTAGAATTCAAAATGTTGAATGAAAAAGCATTTAAATTTGTAAAAATTGTTGAAAAACGCATATTATATTAACCTCCGAATGACGTCGTATAAGAAATATATAAAATCTACATATATTGGAAAAGAGATTTACATTTTTTGACATATCAATGTTCCCAAGCGTTGATGCATCTACCTGTATTCTTCTACCATGTACTCGCCATATCAGTTAAGGAGTTAGTGGGTGTGAACATTGTGTAATAAATGCATAGGGACATGGTAGAAGAATATAGGTAGACGCATCAACACAGCTGGGACAATGAACTGTCAAACCAATTTTGGAATTGAAAATGTTGAATGAAAAATTATTTAAATTTGTAAAAATTGTTGAAAAGGCATTTTATAAAAATCTACTTATATTTGAAAAGAAATTAAAAAAAAAAATTTGACATATCAATGCTCCCAAGCGTTGATGCATCTGTATTTTTCTACCATGAATAGGGACATGGCAGAAGACATATGGGTAAACGCATCGAAACAGCTGCTGGGACAATGGACTGTCAAACCAATTTTGGAATGGAGATTGTTGGATGAAAAACTATTCAAATTCTTTAAAATATTGAAAAAAAAAAAAAAAACGCATATTATAATAACCTCCGACATATAATCATCTACTTATATTTGAAAAAACATTTTAAAATTTTTGACATGTCAATGTTCACAAGTGTTGATGCGCATTCCTCTACCATTGATAGGGACCATGATAGAAGAATATAACAGCTGCTGGGACAATGAACTGTCAAACCCACTTTGGAATTGACTTTTTCGAATGAAAAACTATTCAAATTTGTAAAAATTGTTAAAAAAAACGCATATCATAACAACTTGCGTTTGGTATCGTAAAACATAAACAAATCTACTTATTTTGAAAAAAAATTTTTTTGACATATCAATGTTCTCATGCATGGATAGGGATCATTAGGTGTTGTCCATGATAGACGCTATTTTTATATCATTTTCATTATCATGGCCTGCCATAGCGACCGTTGTAGAAGACAAGCAATATAAAGGGTGAGATAAAAAAAACTGTAACAAAGTCAAACGCCATTATTTTTTATTTTTTTTTTTAATTTTTTGAATGAAAGCAAAAAATGTCGGAAAGAGCATCACATTTTAGAATAAGTTTAGATTTGTTCGAATCGGCCAGCTTTAGCACGAAGTATGGCCTTCAAACGGCCAATGAAACCGTTACACGCTGCCCGAATGCTGCTCTGCGGTATTTTGGCCCATTCCCGGCGAAGCGCTTGCTTGACAACGAATGTTTTCTCATCGCGGAAAACCAACTTCGGCAGTTCACCACTTTCGGAAAAGCGAATCAACTCTTTTGTCTCTTTTGAGTCTATTTTCTTTCTAATGCGGTGTTAGTTCTTGCACTTTTTCAAATTTCAATGGCTTTGCCCCGCGCTCATTTTTCAATATTTGCCGAATGGAATATTGCGATATGTTCAGCTCATGAGCCATTTTTCGGCCACTGCGACGCGGGCTTCGATACAGTCGCTTCTTTACTTTTCAAACCATTTCTGCTGATGTTGCTGTTTTCTTTCGTCTACTTCCTTGACGTCGAGCTACGCCAGCAGAAACACAAACGATTTTTTCCCGTTTAAATGCTGGAGTGCTCTAACGATAGCCACTAGTGGTTTTCCAGCCAAATATAAATAAATCACACCATCACGCTTGAATTCCATCACGAATAACATTTTTCCGGGAAAATTCTCACCAAAATGCTTTTGTACGCTTGTACACACTATAAGGAGCTGTCACTGGAATAATTTTAACAGCTGTCGGACGAGTGGCTTAGAAATGACACATACATGCAATATCTTTTATTTCCTTTGAATTCATTGAGATTATTGCTCTGTTCCATTGAGATTATTCCTGTTCCTGCAATTTTCTTCGATATCATTAAGGGAAATCGGTTATCTTGATAAACGTTTGTACTGGCTCCGGTTCTGGAACAGACCGACCATATGTTGTATTTCATAAAAATCATAATATTTTATTGTTGGATTTTTTCTGTAATATTTTTACACGGCAAACAACCAACACTTTTGATAAAATTATGTGCTCTAATGAAAATAGGGCTCGCTGTGTTCGAAAAAGCATAGAATGTACTTTATTCTCGTATTTCACAACTGAAATGCCCCCCATGTATCACACGATATATGCAACTTCTACATATGCATAAAGTGGAATTATATATGTAAAAAACATTTCGTCATATAGAACCTTAAGCCATGACCCGTATAGCGATTGGGTGTGTAAACACGCTCTTATGGCCAAAACTCTAAAATTTAAGGGCAATGAACCCGAAATATTCAATTATAGCTGATTTTGAGTGGAATTAGGACAGAAACCTTTAAAGCAGCGAAAATCAAAATCTACAGTTTTATGGAGGCAATAGCAGAAAATTGATCTACATTGCGAATATTTCGCGTGGTTTTCATCTATCCCACTGAGAACCTGAAGTCAACTTTAATTTGATTGTAAGTTGAATGTGAAGTGAAGCGAATCCGGGTCCAGGCCGGGTCTTGAACCCAGATTTTCCCAGGGTCCCGGGTCCGTCCCCAAGAAAAAAATATTTTTCCGAATTTAGGGTAAAAATACCTACCTCTGGAAAAAATTTCGAAAATATCGAAAACGAGGGGAACAACTCTAGTTTAGTAAAAACTCTTCGATTTTTTGCGAAATTTTTTTCCAGAGATAGGTATTTTTACCTTAATTCCGGAAAAATATTTTTTCTTGGGGGGCGGACCCGTGTCCCGAAAATCCGGAAACCCGGATTGTCTATATCACTTATCCGATATAGACAATATATATTTGAAAGCTTATGACAATACCTATAGTCAAATTATCGATTTTTTGGACCCGGATTTTTTATAAAACCCCCAAAAAGTGAAAAAAGTGTCCATTATGGGGGTCAATAAAATTGATGATTGATGAATAATAGCTGACAATCTTACCTTTCCAAAATGCCACAGCTTGTGCTAATGCCTTTTTCGGGTCCAGAGATATGGGTCTTTCCATCCGCATAACCCGATTCTAACCAGTTCATTAAAATTATGTTTTCAATAAAAAAGGTTTATTTCTCGTAGCCATAAGCTTTCCAACGACACCTATATTGTATCTATCGTCTAATTGGATCCGGGTTTTGAGCCCGGACTTTGGGATCAAAAATCTGGAGTCCCGGGTCCCTGCCCCAAGTAAAAAATAGTTTCCCGGAGGAGGGTAAAAATACCTACCACTGGAAAAAATTGAAGAGTTTTTACAAAACTAGAGTTAAGCCAAACGAGGGTACCGTTATATGGGGCAATACCCGTAAATGCCGGACCGGTATATGTTTAACACCCAACATCCCATGTAGACTATCAATGCACAGTGGTCGAGGTCGTATGGGAACAGCGGCCAAAAATACTTTCAGTGCAGATATCGATATGAATCGTTGATTATGGTCCCTTGATGGGGTAAATATAAAAAATGTCACAAAATGGATATGGTCGATGCATGTTTTGACATGGTCCCCATGTAACGTACCTCCCGAATAAGGGTTATTTGCCCAATTCTTGTCATATTTCTACACCAGATTGTAATGTTATTTGACATTTTACGTTCTAAGGAGCTAAAAAATAATCTTACTGAAAATTATTTGGAACAGCCCGCCATCAGGTAGAGTCCCTTGTAAGGTACCTCCAAAAATGGAAGCATTTTTATACAAATCAAGTCCAAATTTGATTATTATTTGTAAATAAAATAAAATAAGAATTAATGTAAAATTAGATCAAAGATAAATTTTGCACAAATAATTAGTTTGACTTAAGGCCCTATTGAAATTGGATATAACCGGTCAAAATTTAGGTATAGCTCCCATATATAATCATCCAATTTGCCTAATATTGTGCACCAAACATGTAATATCAGCCCAAATAGTATGGAATATACGTACGACCAGATGGGGCCTGAAAATAAGTATGCCAAATTTGGTCGAAATCGGTTCAGATATATATAGCTCCCATATATATTGTTCATCCGATTTGTTATTTTTGTACCCTTTCTAAATTTTATCGAGATCTGTTGATATTTGGATATGGCTCAAATATATATCTTCTTCCGATTTGCCTTTATTGTGCACCAAACGTGTAATATTAGCCCAAATCAAATTTAGATATAGCTCTCATATATATCTATCCGATTTCAAGTTAATTGTGCACCAAATGGATAATACAAGCCCGAATTGAAAAGGCGCAAATGCCTCGACAAATTTAATAGAAATCGATTCAGAGGAGGATATTCCTCCCATATATTAGTTCCTTTGGATTTTTAATTATTTTATAATTATTTTTTAATTATTACTATAATCATTGTTGGTATGATTTAATTCTCACAAATTCCCCATTAAAACCTTTATTTGTTATGTGACGCTCTACTAAATATGCAAAGTTGTGTAGGGTATCATGAAGTCGGCCCCGCTCGACTTTAAGACTTTCTTTACTGGTTATTGTTTGGTAACGTTCGCTGTCCCATTATAAAAGGGTCAGAGCTCAGAAGAAGACGGTTAATAAGATCTGTGTTTGTTGAGATTTTTTCGGGCATGATTTAGTCGAAACTTGGAAGATAGTGCCATGGATATAAATTTGTTAACTCTTTAGCAGTTTCCAGTGCAAAGGCCTTAAATTTTTCGACATAAATATTATACCCAGAGGACAATGCTTGCAACATTATTGAACACCCCTCAATTACATCCTTATCAATCGCTAACAACAAAAGCATATTCTATGTCACTAGCACCATAGAACTGACAAAATTTCAGCGAAGTCACTTCAGTATATTGGGCATAACGTACACATTTGACAAAATCTGAATGTTAAATTAGCACTTTTAGAATCTTAGGACCATTACTAATGGCGTGAAAAAAATCACATTGGAGGATTCAGGGGGGAAAATAATTAAAACTTTAACTGAAATCCAATTTTATTTTCAAAATTAATCTTAAAGGCAACTCAGAACACTCACATCTTCCATATTATACACATATACTAAACACACAAATTACTGCACTAAAAATAAGTTAATACCTTGCTTTTCAATAATAATGCCAAGATTTGTAATTTTAAAATGTATTTAATTTTGTAATACAGTTCTATTTTTACTCCACTTTTTCTCTGATCCCACTGAAAAAAACAACTAACTACATTTTCTCTTTTTTGATGCTATTTTCGAAGTGTCCCGTTAGAATGAAGCCAATATTATTATGTTTTCTAAAAAGCTTAACCCCTTAAGAGTTTATTTGTACACATTTGACAATAAATATCTGATTTTCATTTTTCGAATTTTGGCCAATGGCAGCGACCACTGTGCAATGCCTGTGAGACATTTTCATGCAAAAATGAGAAAGAAGAAGAACAACAATGTTTATTTTTAATGGTACGTACAACTTTATTAAATCCCTTTTAAAGGACATCCAATCATGATTATAGTATTTTTTTTTTTAAAGTTATCTTATATGGATAGGTATGTATGATTAGTACACAACATAGAAATGCACCTACAAATACTTGATAGCATTATTGTTGATTTGCATGAATGGATGATGCTTGTGATGATCATCTTCTTACATTTTTTGTTTTATTTATTTACAATGTGTCAAATAAGCTTTGTTGATTTGATTCGTTCTTTAGAGATTTTTCTGAACTTCGACCACCATTTAGCAGAGAAAAAACAACACATATGTAACGATGATAAATTTTATAAACAAAACAAAAAAAAAACTTTTAGTATTGTTCTTGTTGTTGATGATGTCTAGGACAAAACAGAATTAATGAATACAATAATAACATATATAAAAAGTTGCTGTTGTTGCTTGTTGTTGTAGTATGCACTTCTATGTTTGTATTACAAGAAAATATATATATTTATGTATGTAGTTCTCTAACAAGAGTTCCTTGCTTTCTTTCTAAGCGTTGCACATAATAACTTGGATTTATTACGTGTTCTTTTTTTTTTTGATTATTAATAATATATATAGAATATAGATTTCGGTGTGTGTGGGTGTGGGGTGTATATAAAGTAAATGTTTATATGTGTGTTTGTGTGTGGAGGATTTTTATTGTGTTGTGTGTAATTTCCCAAGGATCCCTTTTATTTTCAACATAGGCTAAAATATTCAATATTTCAACCTTTTCTTCTTCCTAACTTATCTTCTCATAGCCGGATTCAGTGGTATGTATGGAGAGTATGTGGAATACATAGAATTCTGTTGGGCTGCCCTCTGTATGGCGCACGCATCCTGATATTGAGATTGCATATTCATGACACCCATTTGCATGGGTATTTGTGAATTGGGATATTCACTGCCGGTGGAATAGCTGGACGAGGGTGCCTGCTGTGTGGACATACGATAGCTGTTTATGCTATAGGGTGTCATCAAATTGGGCGCAATATGAACATTGCTGGGCCGGCTACTGTTCGGCGACGATGTAGACGGCGTTGAGGCAATGTGCTGTATCGGCGCTGAGGCGGTGTTACGCACCGAGCGACTAATGCTGGCCGCCTGCGATGTTGTGGTAATCGGTGCAATATTCATATTGCCGGGATAGTATTTATGATGATACTGCAGCGATGCCATTGACGACTGCAACATATTGGGTGAAGTATTCAAATTTCGATTTTGTGGCACAATCAAATGTGGTGGTGGAGTCATGGAATTATTTCCAATGCCATGCTGCGGTGGTGGTGTCATATCCACCTGGCCAATGGGTGAAGTGTTGCATGGTGGTATATCCAGGCCATTGGTCAATTGTTGCAATCTTGACAAACTGCTTAGGTTACCCACAACAGCTGGCGAACCTGCCTGGGCGCTGGGCAATGATTCAGCCCTAGTTTGTTGCTGTTGTTGTTGCTGCTGCTGCTGCTGTTGCTGTTGTTGTTGGCTCAAATGCTCATTTCCCGAACCGGAACCAGACGATGAACCACCCGAGGGTATAGAAATTGGCACCCTTGATGGATTGTTAATCGATTCGTTCGAATTCAAGTTATTCTGTAAATAGAAATTATTCACTGCACACGAGGGTGAGGCCTGCTCAACACGTACCGAACCGGAGTTCAAAGCACTGTTCAAGGACATGCGTTGTTGTATTACGGCTGGCATAGAGCTAATATCATAGGATGAATTGCCAGCATTGCCTGGATAGTTTTGTCCCAAATGCGATAGATAGATGTTATCGGCACCACTACCTCCTCCACCGCCTCCTCCGCCGCCGCCGCCACCACCACCACCACCACCACTTTGCATATTTTGATGATGAGCATGGGCATTTAATTGGGCAAATTGTTGTATATTGTGCAATTGTTGTTGTTGTTCTTGTTGTGCTTGCTGCTGTTGTTGTTGCTGATCAGCGGCAGAATTATTATTCTGACTGTTGTGATTGGCCAACGCCTGCTGCTGCTGCTGCTGTTGGGCCAAATTATTATTCAAGGCCTGTTGTTGCTGCTGCTGTTGCTTTGACTGCCGATGTGCATTTGAGCCAGAGGAATTGGTATTTCTCATCAACTTGGGTGTGGTAGATCTTTGTTGAACTGAATTACCGCTGGATGTTGGATTTTCATTCTGAAAAACAAAATGCCAGAATGGGATTGGTTTAGATTGGGTTTCCATTGAGGAATAAGGTTATGCCTATTTTTTCGCAAATTTAAATTTTTTGAAAAAATGTCATTGACTTACCTGATTAATTTTGCGATTTTGTTGTTGGGTATTATGTTGTTGCTGTTGTTGACTATTGGCCAAACTATTAAGATTTTGATTATTGATATTCATATTTTGTTGTTGTTGCTGCTGCTGCTGCTGTTGAATATGTGGTGTATGTATGGCCATATGCATTGGGGTATTGGTACCCTGATTTTGCATGGAACAATTTGAAAATTGTTGCTGCTGCTGCATATGTACGCTGTTGTTAACATCCGATGAATTTTGGGTAATATCACTGGAGATGCTAGCCGGCGAATCCATGCCCATGGGCACGTTCAAACCACATTCGGCATAATGATGTTGTTGCATGCCATTCGAACCAGCTGTGCTGGAATTCCCTGCATTAGAATTATTGGCGGTACCTCCACCGGCTCCACCACCATTATTTATATTTTGATTATTCGCATTGCCAGAATTGTCATTATTATAAACCATGGGCGATGTCATTTCAGGACTAACCGTATTCGGTTGCTGCTGCTGCTGGGAGTTTTGTGTATTTCCACCCGATTTCATTTTATTATCGTTGTCATTGTTGTTGTTGTTAAGACTGTTGGCATTGTTTCCAGCACCGCCTCCTCCTCCTCCTCCAGAGGCCTGCTGCTGATTAATATTCTGTTCGGGTTTTACCTTTTGACAGGAAGCCTGCTGTTGGCCAGCCTGGTGTTGTTGTAACTGCTGTTGCTGGGCACTTAACAAATTGGCAGCCTGTTGCTGATATTTGTTGTTGCCATGATTATTCATGGAACGTATGTGATCGGCTTGAGCGCGACTGTTCTTTAGGGAGGAGCCACTACTGCTACTGCTACCACCGGTGCCATACAAAGCATGGCTGTTGTTGTAATTGCAGGCGGCCGCAGCGACTGCTGCAGCAGCACTTTCTTCCCGTTGCAACATTTCGGCAGCCACTGCCTGGGCTACAGCTCCCTTGAGAGCGGCTTCATCCTTTTTTAAGGGGCTAGTTTTGCGCTCAGCTTTCAACTTATCCTTGGGATGATGCTGTTGTTGCTGCTGCTGGTGTTGTTGCTGCTGCTGTTGTTGTTGTTGCTGCTGCTGCTGCTGTTGTTGCTGGATATGCTGTTGATGGGCATGGTGCTGCATTGCGAAATTTGCAGATTGATAGAAATTATTATAGGCCATAGATGTGGCCAATTCTTTGTGGAACTTATTCTGACTCTTTTGGGCAGTGGCGTCCAAATGTGATAGATTATAGCCATAATAATCCCATTGCCAATACTGCGATGTGTGATAATTGGATAGTTGATTCAATGGAAACTGCGGTGCAATTTTATTTAAATCCAAAGTATTGAGATTGTGCTCAGCACTAGTCTTGAAATGCAATTTATCGTGGACATTTGCAGGGGGGCCCGAAGAACCGGCGGCCGCGGCAGCCGCCGCCATGGAGGCTTGCAGCATTCGTGGATCCTCCTCCTTGATTTGTATGGGTCCATGTAGGCCCTTTACCGTCTGGCTTTGTTGTATGGCCATTTTACTTTGTTGCTCTAACTTTTCCCGAGAGCTATGACTCAGTTTGGTCTTGTCCAAATTTCCACTAGCCCCAGCTCCTCCTCCTCCTCCTTTGGTATCAGTGGAGGATTTAGATTTGTTGGATTTGGTATGTTTCTCGTGGGGGGTATGTTTTTCATTGCTGGAATTTAGGAAATCCGTGGATTTCTCGGTTTTACATTTATACTTGTCAATGGGAGTTTTGCCATAGCTTGCTGTGGATTGTTGTTGCTGTGCGTGGTGAAGCTGGGGGTGCTGCTGATGATGTTGCTGCTGTTGTTGTTGTTGTTGGGCTAAAACCGAACTCATTGCGGAGTTACCATGCAAAAGTGATGCCTGCTGCTGTTGTTGTGTTTGCTGTTGAATTTGCTGCTGTTGCTGCTGCAACTGATGAACCTGCTGTCCACTTCTATGGTCTGTGGAGATTTTTTGCATGGCTTGGGGAATTTGCAACGGTTCTGTTACCAAGGAAGGTTTGGTATCCACCAAATGGCTAGCTTGATTGCTGGGCATTTTTAAAGGACTTTTACTGGTGGAGGTGGTGGTGGTGTTGGTGATGTTATTAGTGTTATGTTCTTTCTTTAAAACCATTTGCTCGGGAACATTTGCAGCTATAGTGGCATGTGCTGGAGCTGGTGTAACCTCAGGTTTTATATTTGGATTGGCCACAACATTGCCGGAGATATTTGTGGTATTTGTCGATGATGTAGAAGATATTACTGTTGTGGGTTTGGATAAACAATCTGGGGGTTTACTATCAATTTGCTGTTGTTGCAATGGGGGACCTGGAGCCGTCGCATTATTACTTGGCTTAATTTCCATTGAGGTCAACGACGAGGACGACTTGGCAAATTGATTGACGGTTATTACCGGTTCGGGTTTGGCATTACCAATCGTGGTTGTCATTGCCTCATTGGCATTAGGGTTTTTTGGAGTGGGTGAAAGTTGCTCTGTTTTTAGGGCTGCCGGTTCGGGTTTTGAGGGCGGCTCAGGTTTTACTTTCTTTTCCAACAAAGGGTTCAAGCTTGATGGAGGCTCTTCTGGCAAGGGCTTAACATCCAAAGGAGAGGGAACTGCAGCTGGAATATCAATGTTTTGGTGGTTCGTTGATTCCTTTTTTGTTTTGACCTCTTCAATAACTGAGACATTGGCGTGTTCTACTTTCTTTACAGATTTCTCGGGAGAAGTAGTTTTGGGAACCTCCAAAATTTTATTACATTCCTCTTTTTGCATGTTATTATTGGGTTCCCCCAAAGCAATTGGGGTGGGTTCTTTAGGTTTTTCCATGGATGGTTCTTTAACTGGCGCCTGCTCCTTGTCTGTCATCATGTCATTGGTATTTGACGCAGCTGGAGTGGGTGTTTCAATTTCTGGCTTAACACTAGGCACATCTGAGTCATTAAAAAGAGACTTCTTGGTTTTCTTGGCAACAGCTTCCATGACTTTTTCATCATTTTCCATGGTAGAAGATTTGGCTGTGGTAGTCGCAATAAATTCCATTTTAACTGGTGAATTTTTGTTGGAAACACTATCCAATTGTTTGGTTTCTACTTTTTCCTTGCTCTCCACGTTGGGATTTTGCTTAGGCTCCTTGTCCACCACTTCCGGGTTGTCAGTTGGAACATCATTGTTTAATTCCTCATTGAGTTTACCGGAATTCTTTGCCCTCAATTTGGGAAATAAATTCGGAATACGTTTATCATTTTTTACTTCAGTTTGAGTTTCTGCCACAAAGGACTTATCTTCAACTCCGGCCACAGGGGAGGGTTTTACATTTTTTGTTTCTTCTGCAGGTTTTTCCTCAATATTTGGCTTAGAAGATGGCATTTCTTGAGTTTCCAAAGATTTCTCTTCTTTATTGGCTTTATCCATGGAAATTGTCTCCTTTGGGTTGTTCTCCTCCAAACTGGTATCGTTTTCAGATTCTGATAACTCATCGTGTTTCCTTTTCAATGGTGGCAAGGCTGCGGTAGCCTGCTTGCGATTAGGTGTCGCAGTTTTCGGGCTAGTCTTCTCAGAAATATCTTCTTTTGCCATTTCTTCGCTTTCAATGCTCATTTGTGGTGGCTCAGATGGAGTACATATGTCCATGCTTTCAGTATTATAATTATCTGCAACAATAGCATTGTCATCCATTTTGGACGGCTCTTCGTCGCCGTTTCCTTGGTGGTTTTTTGACAAGTTATCAATTTCCATGGGGCTACTAGGTGGCGGAGGGCTTTGAGAACTGGGTCTTTTACGTTTACCGGTTAATTTTTCATGAAATAAATTCTCATTCTTCTCCTCTTTTTCTTGGACTTCATCGTTGATGTTATCATTTGTGTCGTTGCTTGCCGTTTCGGATTTTACGTTTGAGTTTTGTTTTTCTTTCGGAATTTCTTTCACTTCATTTTCTTTTGTTTCTTGCTGTTTCTGATGCCTGATGTTGTTTTGAACAACAACCGTCGAAGATGTTGATGATATAGCCACGGAACCATTCTTACTTTCATCGAGTTTCATGACATTTTTGCGCGGAGACAAACTCTGCCTTCCCGACATATCCAATGATTGATTCTTGACATGAGTCAGTAGGGGACTCCATCGCAATCTTTCCGGTTCTATGTGAATGCGATTATTTTGTCTTTTCAATTTTTCATGGTGATCATTAACCCTCTTCCAATCCACTTTTATGTTGATGTGATAATGTATATCATCTTCGTTTTTCCTTAGTTTTATAAAATTCAATAATTCCAAGGCCAGAGCTATGTCGACAATAGTCAAACCCGTTTCAGCAGCTATTCCATTAAAGGTTATGTTCTTATCATGCTTGTGATCGTATAGGTATTCCAAAATAATGGACTTCCAGTAGGAAAAATATGATAAACGTCCCAAATCGGAGAGGGGCTTTTCGGGGGTACCCAACTGACCCTCCTCTCGGCTCAGTAGATAACTAAAATCAATTAGGAAACGACCAAAACCCTGCCTCTGAAATTGTGGCATGGTTAGGATACATGACACATTATACTTCTGGGCACAATGTTTCTCCTTGGAAAAATAGCCCACCAAATGGCAGCCCTTATTATCGTTTTTGGTCAAGACATAGAATAAAAAAGGCTCCACGTCATAGTACAACGTCTTGTGGTCCAAAAACAACTTGGCCAATAGACACAGATTTTGGCAATAAATCTTATTGATATTGCCATCAACTTCAAATACTGACAAATCTTGATGACGGTAGATTTCAGTGCCTGGTGGTTGTTTCCAGGAACATTTGTTTTGATGACGATCCAAGACCGCCCGACTCTTGGTGTATTTTAAACAAAATTCACACAAGTATAGCTTCGTCAATCTACAAAATGAAATGTCTTTATTAAACTGGATATTCCATAGAAGTTTTGAAAAATATTTAAGTATACCTGGCATATTCCTGGGGAAATGGACTGGAATACCAGGTTTCAATGTGCCATTTACCAATTTCTATGGAACCGGGACAACGTTCAGCGTTCGCATTTATGGCGGCAGGTTTGCCAATTAATTTACTGGGACTTTCCATGGCTCCGGCAATTGCCTTGCGGGCTCTTTCTCTGATCTTTTTATAAATATCGTAATCGGCCTGTGAAACCCCATTGGGTAGAGGCTGTGAATCGAACGGATTTTCATCGGGTACAACTTCCCAGGGATGTTTTTCCTCAGCCACTTCTTTATTGGGTGGTGGCGTTTCTGGCTTTTCCTGACTCTTGGCCATATCGATATCTTGCATCATTTTGTATTTGATTATATTTTGATGGGACAAAAACGGGATTTCGTCATCATCATCGTCTTCGGCTGGTTTAGGAACTGGTTTCTTTTCCAAGGGCATGGATTTAAGTAAGACAGCTTTCTTTTGTACCTGTGGTTGGTCTGAAGGTTTAGCAACAGCAGCAGCTGACGTTCCTTGAGCTGTGGTGGTTGTAGTAGGTTTGGGTTTATATTTTATCATCATTGTGGGTTTGGGTGTTTCTTTTGCAGTTCCAGCCGCTGTTGGCGCTGGAATTATTGCTGAAGAGTTTGCAATTTTATTCGTATCTTTTTGAAGAATTTCCTGCTTGGCTTCCAGTTGCAAGTTTCCTTGATTTGTGGTCAATTTTTGTGGTGGTGGCTGATTGTTATCCTGCAGCATTACATTGGTATTTTTTTGTTCCGTTGTCAGCGTTGCAAAATGATCTGTAAGTTTACGTTTTACGGGTTTTAAATTTTTCATTAGATCATTTTTATTATTGCTGGTTGCTGTGGCATTAGCTGTGGACACGGCTGTTGTGGCAAATATATCCGGATGACTTTTGGCCACAGCGGCAAAACCCCATTCCTCTTCTTTCTGCGGCTGCACCAGACTCATATGCTTTGCCATGGGCGAAGACGAGGATGCACTCAATAACCCATCACATTTCTGTTTTTTATAAATTTGAGCCAGCATAACATTCGATTTAGACTCACTATTTTCCGAATCATAATCATCATCATCATTGTCCTCATCATTATCATCACAATCAGAACTATCACTGCTACTCTCAGAGGAATCTGAACCACTGCTGGTGGTGGAAGAGCAGGAATCTGATGATGTAGTGTCATCATTGTCATGATCTTCATTGTTTTGTTCTTCGTCACTATCACTCGAGGAACTGGAGGAGGATAAGTTTGATAAGGTGCGCTTACGACCCTTCATGGTCTTCAATGATGTATCCTGTTCATAGGCTGCCAAATGCTGTTTCAAACTCTCCTCCATGGCAGCTTGATGCTTCAGTTTAGCCAACGAAGAAGGTGAGGCAACCTCAAAAGCATTGCCACTTAACTTGACAGGTGTGGTTTTTGCTACCTTCGATTTGGCAATGGGCCAATATTTCTCAGGAGAACTATTTGGTGTTGTTAGACTGGTATCAGCAGAAGTATTTGCTCCCCTCGAAGTGGGTGATACCATGGTCAATTGTTTGGTCGACGCACCAGAGTTGCTAAAATAAAAAATTCCATTGGGATTTTCAAATTGTCTTTCATATTTTCTCCTTCACTTACCGGCTCTTGGATAAAACTAATTTCTTTTGGGAATCCTTACCCTTTACCATACGGAAAACATCGGTATTCAATTTCAAGCATGCACTGCATCTAAAAGGATGTTTTGGTTTCTTATCGGGTATGGTGTCCAAACAATTTAAATGGAAATTTTTGTGGCATACAAAACATTGCAATAGACAAGGACCTCTATTGCCCTTGCCGCAGGCACATTTTACACAATTTTCACAATACCAGGAACTACCCTTCGTCACCAACATATACAACAACACAAATGATTGGGTCTTACATTTGGCAGCAATATTTGCACAGGTGGTGTGCAATGAAATGCCGCACTGTTTGCAAGAGCTCAACGGCTCGGGAATGCCATTTAAATTCTTCTGGGCATTGCCAGAGCAATGCTTACAGATGTCATTACCCTAGAAAGAGAACGGCAAATTAATATATACTCCTTTAAATAAATTTTCCAATACATACAATTTGCACTGGTATATCCACAGAGGCATTGGAATTCCTCGGGGTTGTCAAAGAACGTCCTTTCTTATAAAGTTTCCCCTCCTGTATTAGAAAGCCCGCCTCCACTGCCTTTTTAATAGACTGCTTAATGACCGCCTTGTAGTCAGCATCTCCAATTAATTCAATTGTATTGAATTTTTGTATATAATTTTCAATACTTTTTACACTGGAGCCCTCACATTCGCCCAAATCGTGTACAGCTCGGGCCACTATCTTGCACAAATTGGTATTCTTTTCGACCCTCACTACCCGCTTTGCCATGGGAGCCTTATATGAATGCAGGCCTTTATTGTAGACTTTTATAACGGCGCCGGTTTCAACAATTTGTTCCAGTTTTTCGGCTACAATATCTTCATGGAATTTGTGATGGGCGCCAATGGCTTGACCTGTTACAAAGAAAGGCAAAAATAATTAAACATCGTCACAAACTACGCTGTGGCTGACTGTAGCCAACCAGCTACACACACACAAACTTACATATTCGTTGGACACTGGGTCTCTGTTTTTGAGATCGTATCTTCGATATTGCATCCAATATCCATTTTTGCCAAACTTCCAATGATATTTCCTGTGTTGAATCAAACATTTTTGCCCAATTTTTCTATAACAAACGACACGAAGCCAATAAATATCCAACAGCAATCTAAAATCCGAAAAATTCTCCACACACACCAACCACGAACTGAACTAGTTAGAAGAAAAAAGCGAAGCTAGTATACATTTACTTGCTTGCTTAGTTTTGTTCACTTCTTCACTTTGTTTGTTTCGCGTTTTTCTTCAATTTCTTTAAGTTTTGCGCTTCTCTAAGCCACACATGGATTGCTTATAATACTTTTTCGCAATTTTCCGTAAATTATAAATAATTACAATTAAAATATTTCTTCGTTTTACGAGAAAAAAATTATGTATGTTTACAACGCAAGAAATTAGTTGGCTTTGAATGCTTCTTCAGTTACTCGATGAGTAACGCGAGATAAATGCGCGCGAGACCGATACTAATGTGACTTTTGAGGCATGACGCAAATACCACTTGTTGGTGGTAAACATTTTTGACGAAATTTTTCTAATTTTCTTTCTTATAGTTATATATTATTTTTTTTGTATATAAATTACTTTTGAAAATATATTTATGTTTGTATGCTAAGCTGTAATGTATGAGACGTATAAATAGATTTTCCAATGAGGGGTTTCATTATAAAGTGAGGTATACAATATAAAACATAATATACAGTCATTGTCCATCATAGAAATGCGGGAGTTTATATAATATTTATTTTTTACGCTTTCACATGGTAAAATTAGTAAAAATAATTAACTACCTAACTGCCATCAAAATTACAATTTTTTTCAAAAAAAAAAACGGTATATGACTTTCAATTTTAATTTAACTTATTCTCTCTCCATTATTTAACCGACCATGTTATAAAACTATATTTTTATTGTCAGTTTACTTACAAAGTTTCTGTGTTCCCGTGCAAAAGAACTGGAAAAACATACATAATTTATAAAAATGGTAAAAGTTGTAATCCTTTAAATGGTTAAAAGTTCTGAAACTTAACACATTTTAATTTTTCTATTAAAATTTTATTGCCGTTTCATACTTCCTATTTTCATTTATTATTAAAATCTAATTTTAGACAAATATTATATTAAAAATTTTGTTCATGGTAAAATCAATGAGGTAAAATCATGCTATCATATCTTATTCTCAAAATTTGTATTTATAAATCCATTGTACATACACAAATCAGAGATGGGAACCTGTTTTTATGTAGTGAAATGTGGCAGGGTAAATTACAGAAAATACAAAGATGAATATGCTTATTCGAAATGACTTTACTTTCGTCATTTTACCATGATTTTGTCTTAGGACATTATAAGATCTTTTAACACTATAGGTCTCTGCTATCATCGTTGCTAAATAATCGATTGCTGGCTATTGTGGCTATTGAACCTAAAATCGACATTTAAGCAATATTTTTTAAAGGTGCTGTCAGATTAAATGTATTGTAACTTTTTCACAATCAATTGATTTGTTCCAGAGCATGCAAGAAAGTCAAAGTTTTTCCTATGATAACCGATTTTCCCTTTATAATATCCGAAACAATTGCAAAACTAGTAGATTGTTGCTCGTTCTGGAACAGGGCATATTTGTAGTTGATATGCACCATCATACAAGTGCACCACAATATGCTAAATTGCAATAAATTCGAAATAAATACTATTTTCCAAAGTACAGCCCTTGTAAGCCATCATTCAAATTAAAAACCCTTGGTGAGCCGCATAACCAACGACGAAATACATCGCATAGTACTGAGCGTCTATCTGGCTTTCCTCTTCATTGCAAATTTTAGATTATTAAGCTCATCTCGAATGAGAAATAAACAAATAAATCATAAACATATGAACTTTGCCGTAATAAGGAAAAACTTAAAAAATACTTTTTCATTTAAAAATGTTAATTGCAAAAATGTTTTGTCAGCTGTTTTTGATGGTGTGTACTCTACATAAAGATGTGTGATTATGCCACAAGTCTTCATTGGTCATACGATATATTGTCCAATCACATGCTATTGGGCGTCGTTCAACAAACAAAAATCAGCCTCCATTGTGTGACATTACCAGATTGCTTTCATGCTATGAACACAAAACGTTGCCATTCCCTTTTTTGGAGAGTTGAACGGAGTGGCAACACAGTATGACTAAAAAATCTTTTTATGAAATTGGACAAAGAAGTTAATAGCTCGATTTTTGTGTGTGTTTATTAAGGGCAATCCTTGGCGAGAACCCCCCTCAGAAAAAGTGTCTAAACCGAAAAAAGTTTGCAAATTCAATGAAAATGTTGACAAATGTGAAGAAACATTAGTGGATTACTTAAAAAATACACAGGTGTTTGTGTCTCTCGTTGAAGAACGAACGGGGTAATCAACTCCCTCCACTGCAATTACGAGTTTTTTTTTTGTTGTTTTTACTTCATAAATGAAAGAAAAAAAAAACAACTCTACACAACAATCTCGCACGGGAAGAAAGAAAAGAACGACAACGACGACGACGACGGAACAAAAATATCACGTAAAGAAAGAAAAGATAAAGAAACGAGAGAATCGTAACCCCATCAAGCAACAAACAACGATCAAACTGAATTATTATTAATAATAAAGTTTGGGCAAGAAACATACAAAATAAATGAAATATACTTTCCAGTGAACGAGTGAGTGAGTGTGACTGTGCTGTTGATTGAGTGTAGAAAATATTGGGGATTTATTGGTCTCTTTTTTTTATTTTTTCATATCAAGTGTGCTGTGCGGAGAGATTTGTATAAAAAATCGGCTAAAAAGAATTAGCAAAAAACACACTAGCATCCAGTAGTTGATGTCCCACCACCACCACCACCTTTGTCACCACCGTCACCGTCGTCATCATCATTATCATCGTTTCTGTAGTCATTATTGTCACCACCAGATAGCCAGAAAACTATTGCTACTACCAATAATAAAAACAACAACAGCAACAACAACAACTACATCATCACCAAGAACAGCCACACCAGTCGCAAAGTAGGGAAAACTTCATCAGCATCATTCATAATTATCATTTAGTCGCCTCAGTAGCCGAGTCTGAAGGCAGTGCAGTTGTCGCCGCAGTAGCAGAGCATTATAATTATTGGCAAATATGCGTGAATTTAAAGTTGTTGTTCTGGGGTCTGGAGGTGTTGGCAAATCAGCCTTAACAGTGCAGTTTGTTTCCGGTTGTTTTATAGAAAAATATGATCCCACAATAGAGGATTTCTATCGCAAAGAAATCGAGGTATGTTCCATTGAAGAAAAAAAATTAATGTTGTTTTTTGTTTTGTTTGAAGCGTTTAATCTTGTTGTTATTATCTTTTTTTGAACATTTTGCTTGACCTCATGGCCAAATGCATGCAGTTTGCCAACAAAGTTCAACCCCAAATGGGTTACTTTGTAGTTTCTGCAAAACAAAAAAATGCAGAAACAAAAGCAGTTACTAAAGCAATCAAAAGAGCTCAGAGTATGGATGATAATCAAGTAAAATATTCTACCTACCTAGCTTTGGTACACACAGTGGCTGGCTGGCTGGCTGGTTGGCTGGCAATCACATTGCATTCAAATGAATGTGTGGCTGTTTGTTTTGTTTGTTTCGTTTATCAAGCAACCAACAAAGATTAACAAATGTCTGATGATTGATCTGGGCACATGGAAATGATTCTTATATCATTTGCTGGCTGTGAAAATAAATACGGGCATTCAAAATGTGTGGTCAAGAAGGGATTTTACCGGGCATCATTATCATCATCATCCAACGAATGGATAATGGTGGCCCACCAACCAACCAACATTTGTTAATGTTTAAAAAGACAAAATGTTTACATAATTCCAATATGAATGTCTGAATGTACACCAAAACAAGCCAAACGTCTGACGAAAAGCCACTTTACTTACGTATCAACAATATATACGTACTTTTATGCATATACATTATACTTATCACTAAAAAAAACATATTCTATAGAACTATAGTTGTCGTCAGACTCTAGATAATAGAATACTACTTCTATATCGTTGTTCTTTGCTTGATTTGTTTGTACCTACTTTATTTTTTCTGAAATTTCATTCACTCTCTTTCTCTCTCTCTCTCTGGTAGACACACAGACACATTGTTGTTGTTGTTCGTGTAGAGATCACAAACATTTAATGACAGTTTGTTTTTTGTTTTTTGTTTTTTTTTTTTTTTTCATAAAAATGAAATAATTCTCCTTTTTAGCTAAAAATAATATCAAAGATTTGCTAACGTAATTTGCTGTGATAAACTCTAGAAGACATTTTTTTTCCCCATCCCGGAAGGATAGAACCCCTACCCACGCAATTAATCAGTCATAAAAAAAAGTGATAGCTATCTAGATAATTAAATCGTATAACAATGTCATAGAATAAACAACTTTGTAAAAATATTTCGCAAAGAAGAAATTATTTTCTTTGTGAATTTCTATATCTAGTATTGAAATGAATATTAGAGGCGATTTGGAAAATAATGGGATGCATTGTTGAAATTAGAACAAGTAAAAAAGCAATAAGTTCAACGGGACCGAACCTCTACCATTTGGGACGAATTAGGAAATTTTCAAAAAAAAAATAAATAAATAAATAAATAAATCCATAAAAATATCGGGAGGTTCTGTAATATGGGGGCTATACCAAAACGTGTACCTATATTGATGATTCTCTTCCAGGGGATAAAGTACTCATAAGGAACTCCTTGTGTGAATTTTCAGACAATTCCGTAGAAGAATGTGGCTAAAATCATTTATATGGGGGCTATACGATATTGTGGACTTATATAAATAAATCTCTTCCAGGGGATAAAGTACTCACAAGGAACTCCTTGTGTGAATTTTCAGAAAATTCCATTGAAAAATGTGGCTAAAATCATCAAAATTCCGAATATCGGGGGTACCTTTATATGGGGGGCTATACGATATTGTGGACCTATATAAATAATTATCTTCCAAGGGATATAGTGCTCACAAGGAACTCCTTGCGTGAATTTTCAGACAATTCCATTGAAAATGTGGCTAAAATCCTCTAAATGCCGAATATTGGGGGAGACCCTTATATGGGGGCTATACGATATCTTGGACCGATATAGCCGAACTTGACCTGCCTGCAGACAAAAGACTGATCTGTGCAAAATTTTAGCTTCCTATCTTTATTCGTTTTAAGTCTAGCCTGATTACAACATATGGACGGACATTACAAACGGAATGATGAACTTAATATAACCTCCATACTATGTATGGTGGAGTGTAAAAAATACCTGTATAAAAACTGTTTATCTGTCTTGGGTAGTGTGCAGAGAGATGTTGATATTCCGATTTCTGAAGCACAAGTCGCATTTCATCCTTGTTATCTTTGACGTCCAATCATCGGCTAATTTATCTGGGCTCTAAATCCCACCCACTGAGCGATTAGTTGAGCAAAAATAAAAAATCCTATCCTGACAATATAGACAGTCTACATGTAACAGATCGAGGGTAATCTGGCCGATCCCGATACCGTAGCTAGCTATTTTTTCTTATAAGCGAGAGATAAAAGCTATTTGAACTGCAACAGGTTGGCAACTCATGATATAGGCGGACCATTTTTATTTACATGAGGAGTCAGAGGTTCTTCCCAGCCGTGGGAGTCATCCAAACCATTAAATGGTGAAAAGAAATCCCCTACTCAGGCGTTTCAGGAAACATCTACTCGATCTAGAGAGTGAGATGTTCAATGGTATGTTTTGGTATGTGGGATACGCAGCTCCACGGAAGATCTATGTTCCATTGTGTTCATCGTAGGAAGAATAAAATTGGCGGGTATAGGAGAGATTTAGAGGCGGGAAGGACAAGATAGGCTTTATTGAGAGAAGTATAGTTTGTACGGTGGTCGGCCTAGCTTATAGATGATGACGTGATCTATATATATCTGAAGATAACATTAGCCTGCGTGTCTTGTTGGATAATATGGGCCACCTGCATAGTAGGTCAGAGGTCAGATATCTTATACTTCAGAGGTCAGTCAGTATGCCTACTTTAATGCGCTGTTGCCAGAGATCTTCTCTTCGAGACGGCATTCTCTTTAACGACTGGCTTGTTGACAGCAAGAATCTGCGCACGAAAAACGCTGAAATTGTCATTAAACTTATATGAGTGTTTAATCATTAGGTTAGGGCAGAATACGCCAGCCCAAGCGGTATAAAATAGGCCCTCTAGTTCAAGAAGCCTTCCATGCAGTTCTGAGGCCTATGTTATCAACCATTACTGTTACCGGAAAAAAGAATAAAGGCCAGGTAAAACTAGGATATTTCTGGAATACATTCAAGATGGATGGAGGGTATATGAAACTCCGGACCATTCGAAAATAACCTCATTTTCATCTGTTCCCTTCAAAGAAAATAATTCCTTTTGCATTGATGGAAGAAGTTTCCGTGATAGACCTCATTTTGTTTTCGGGGAAAAAAGGACATTTTTTCAATACTCAATTAGGTCCCATTTAAAAAGAAGTCTTCCATGAAGTTTTGAAGCCTATGTAATCAAACATTACTGTATGACGAATGCCGTCCTCGATTTCCACTCCCACACCCATTGCAGCTGAAGAAAGACCAGGAAAAACTAGGATAGTTTTGGAATAATTATATTCAAGATAGATGGAGGGTATAACAAAAAAGGGACTATTCGAAAAAACCTCGTTTTCATCTGGTCTCTTCAAAGAAAATAATTCCTTATGCATTGATGTAACAAGTTTCAGGGATAGACCACATTTTTCGGGAAAAAGACCATTTTTGCAATACTCTCCCATTTAAAAACGCCAATAATGGGTTGATCTCCAATATCCAACAGATAACTTCTTTTCATAGACGAAGGCGTGAATTTTTTACTAAAACTAAACTAAATGAGAAGTGGATGAATTTTTAAAAGTATAAATATGTTTCCTTTTTGGAAAACTAATATGTCCTCTTGTAAAGTTACAAACTTATCTGGACTAAGATCACTATTTATTCTACAACGCCAAAAATTGATGACTTCAGAGGGACAAAACTTTGGTCAAGAGAGGGATTCTTTCAAAAAACACCCATTGTGGTTTGAATATTTAAATATCACAAAGATAAAAATGGCTTAGAGGCATAAACATTATTTTTAAATACAAATTTAGTAAACCTCTTTGGTAAACCCATTAGCGTTTGGCCGGAGATATCTTTATATGGATATCTATTTTGAAATCTTTTCTTGTTCTCAAAAATAGGCCCTTTCAAGTTATCTATACATATCGAATACAAGACTTTTAGGACCTCAAATAATTAGAAGACTCTTAATTTGAAATACCTTAGAGTTCTTAAAATATCATGTCATCTGGGTAAAATAAATTTTAATGTCTTCAAAGAAATCCAAAACTTTGTATCTCCTTTATTTTCTTGTTGACAATAAAAACCTGCATTTTAAAAAAAAAACATACACACGTACGTACCTACACCCACGTAAGTGTGTATTTATAAGCCACATTGATTTTGGTTGAACGTAACGTATCGTATTTTTAATTCAATATTAAACAACAATGTCTGTAATTAGATGTGAGTCATCGAAATTCAAATATTGATTTAGCAATGATGATGATTATTACATTTACACACAATTTGTGACAAAATCAAATTACCAATTATAACACATTAGTTTTTCTTTTGTTTATTTCTTTTTTTCCACCAGGTTGACAGCTCACCATGTGTTCTAGAAATCTTAGATACAGCGGGCACGGAGCAGTTTGCCTCAATGCGAGATTTATATATTAAAAATGGTCATGGATTTATTGTCATGTATTCACTAACAAATCATCAAACATTTCAGGTAAGAAGCAAAAGATGGGTATGGAAATATGTAATAAAATTTCAATACGGAAGGATCTCAGAATACAGGATATTAAAAACATACAATTTATATAAACAAAACTCTTGTTGATAAAGAAATTTGCATCAAAGTTGTCATCATAATACAGTGTAAGATGAAAAAACTGCAACCAACTTCAGACTGCTGTACTTTCTAAGCCACACGTCCGACAGCTGTTAAAATTATTCCAGTGATAGCTTTGTTTACAAGCCTACAAAAGCATGTTGAGAATTTTCCAGAAAAAAAGTTATTCGTAATGGAATTCAAGCGTGATAGTGTGATTTCTTCATATTTGGCTGGAAAACCAAAAGTGTATATCGTGAGAGCAATCCAGCTTTTAAATGTGAATAAATCTTTTGTGTCTCGTACCATCGCTCGTTACCGTGTTACTGCTGGCAAGCCCGACATCAAGTAAGTGGACAGAAGAAAACAGCAACATCAGTAGAAATGATTCGAAAAGTAAAGAAGCGACTTCATCAAAACCCGCATCGCAGTGCCCGAAAAATGGCTCGTGTGCTGAGCATATCGCAATATACCATTCGGCAAATATTGAAAAATGAGCTCGGGTTAAAGCCATTGAAATTCCAAAAAGTGCAAGAACTTAGCCAGCAACAGAAAGAAAATAGACTCAAAAGAGCTAAAGAGTTGCTTCGCTTGGCCGAAAGTGGTGAACTGCCGAATTTGGTTTTCTCCGATGAGAAAACATTCGTTGTCCAGCAGCAGTTTGTAAACAAACAAAATGATCGTGTTTACTTGCCAAAGAGGTCAGCTGAAAATATGCACCTTCGGTTGGTCACCAGAACTCAAGCGCCGGCTATGGGGTGATGGTGTGGACCGCCATAACAGCCGATGGTGTCTCTCCGCTCGTATTAATAGACCATGGAATGAGAATAAATGCCGAATATTATCGCGAAAATATTCTGGAGGTTGTACGAAAGCCTTGGGCCCGCAGACATTTTGGCCGCAGACCTTAGACATTCCAACAGGACTCAGCATCATCGCACTCAGCAAGCACCACCCAAGAATGGTTACAAAACGAGGTTCCTCGCTTCATTTCTAGCGCACAATGGCAACCAAAATCTTCGGATACCAATCCGTTGGACTATTGTGTCTGGGGTATTTTGGAAAGCAAGGTTGGCACTAAAAAATACCAAAATGTCGATAACCTCTAGATCAAGAAGCCTATCAGGCAGGTCTGAGTGGCATTCATACCGATGCAGTCGCGGATGCTATTAGCAAGTATAAAGTAAATGCCGTCCTCGGAGTCCACCCCCATCCATTGCAGCTGAAGAACGTCAGCTGCCTAGACAATCCAGGGTAGTTTTGGCGCAATTAGGTTCAGGATGGTGTAGTCGTCTCAATTCGTATTGGGCACAAATTGATGAAGATGTGCGTGACGCCTGCCCGGCGCGCGATACAGGCCCGTACAATACGCTGCACCTCTTTAATTGCACAGCCAAACCTACCCAACTCACTCCAGAGGAACTCTGGCTACAGTCCATTAAAGTAGCCGAATTTCTAAACCTGGAGCTGGAACCAGATTAGCAGAAGGCAAACACATGGATGTACTACTGCTACAATAACAACAACAACAAAAGTGTCCATCACCTCAACCAAGCGCTTCGCCGGGAATGGGCCAAAATACCGTAGAGCAACATTCGGGCAGCGTGTGACATTTTCATTGGCCGTTTGAAGGTTATATTTCGTGCCAAAGGTGATCAATTCGAACAAATCTAAACTTATTCTGAAATTTGATGCGATTTCCGACATTTTTCGCTTTCATTCAAAAACTTTAAAAAAAATATGTAAAAATGATAGCGTTTGACTTTGTTGCAGTTTTTTTTATCTCATCCTCTAAATGTTCGTTTTCCTCCAATATTTTTATCTGTATTTGATGAAGTATGAAAATGGAATACTTCGGTCCGCTATATCTGTTACCTCATGCATATTTCCCCATTTTCCAAAAATGTGCACATATCTCATATAAAGTATAAGAAGGTAGCCGATGTAGTCCGATTCTGGCCCGTTGTAATATTTATACCAGTCTTTTGTCAGATATGAATTGGCCAACTGCTTGGGAACCTCCCTCAACAAGGGTCAACAGTTTGAATAATCATAACTCAAGGCTGGGTATATACATCTGTTGGCAAAACCGACTGATACTATTTTACTTATGTTTTTAATAGAAAGAATGCCCTTTAAAATATTGTTAATCCCGAAAGGGATGCCTAACTGACGGAAATTTTAATATTGATTATTTTTTTTCTTTTCCTCAATTACAGGATATTTCCACCATGAAAAATGTCATAACCCGAGTTAAAGGCAGCCAACCAGCTCCCATATTGCTAGTCGCTAATAAATTAGATTTAGATTGCCAAAGAGAAGTATCAACTGCCGAAGGTAAGGCATTATTTTAATTGTCATTTAAAGTTTGCTTTAATTTTTCTCACACTCTCTCTCTCTCTCTCTCTCTCCACCATTTCTCTTTCACAGGTAATACTTTGGCCCAATTATGGGAATGTCCCTTCATAGAAGCCTCCGCTAAAGATCGTATTAATGTCAATGAAGTATTTGCAACAATAGTCCGTGAAATGAATATGACCCAGGATAAAAGACAGAAAAAAAGTTATTGTTGTTGTGCTCTTTTATAGAAGGATTTTGCTAATTATTATAAATATTATTATTATTATAATTACTACTATTATAGCAATTATGCACTTACGTACATATTATTATAATATAAATACACCACACAAAACACACACACATATATATAGAGAGCGAGAGAAACATGTGAATCAGAGTAATAAGAACAACAGCAACAACAACACGAAGAAAGTGGAACATATAATCCCCCAAATTCCCCCCTTGTCCCCTCTTAAAATAGTAACATACAATACAGAAAATAAGAAACTAAATAATAATGTTAATTATGCGAAGATCAAATCGTCGGATATAACGACAATTATGATGATGATGATGATAACAAAGCAGATAACAACAAGAAAACAAATACGTGCAAAAATAATAATAAAAAACAGTATATATAATAATTTTCATTATTAACAATAATGAACATATATATATATTTATATATACATATTATATATTTAGTGATGGCAATTTGAAATGATGATGAGCTTTTTTCATCACTACTGTGTAGCAAAACAAAAAAGTAACAAAAGAAAACAAATGATAAAATCCAAAACAAAAAAAGAAAAACAACAAACATATTTTGTGTATGCCAATTTTGTATAGTGTATTAAGTGCAAAACCAACCCCCTAAAACAAAAAAAAAAAAAACAACAAAAAATATGAAAAAAATTAAACAATAACAAGAACTCAAAAGAAAAGAAAAACAAAACATGGAATCGAATCAATTTTCTTGATTTAAGACAGGAGTTATCTCACAGTTTTATGATAACGATGATAGGATACTTAAGATCGAAAAACATTCATTTATTAACTCAGTTCTCTGTTACATAATCTGTCACACACACACACCCACACAGACATTAAGTACATTATTCTGTATACGAACAAGGTCTATTTAAAGTTATTCTAAAATAAGTTGATGTATTCAATTGATGTAGAATTCCTGTCATACAAGCAGAAGAGTCAAGAAATATGGGATTTTTTTTTTAAATTAACGAACAAGATCTTTTTGGAATTATTCTAAAATAAGTTGATGTTTTCAATTGATTAGAATTCCTGTCATCCAAGCAGAGGAGTCAAGAAATTTGGGAAATTGATTAGCATAGAACACCTAATACATCTCTAATAACAAGAAAACTTCTCGGACAGCATCTCTCAAATCGAATGTCTCTTAGGCTTCCTTTAATGAAACATTATCAGGTCTTTTGTAAACACAATAACAATTTCAAATCTTTTTAGAACCATCTCAAAAAACTCAAAAACCTGCAGGACTTCCATATAACATTAATGAGGTCTTGTAAAAATATGTCGTCCTTCATTTAGATTTCATTTATAGCTTTCTACAAAGGGAGACACTATTTTATGTTTAGAAGACCCGAAGAGACTTCTATAGACAGAGGATTTTTGAAGGCAAACCTTTGAGGTATTTTATTGATAGAAAAGCTTTCAACGTATTTAGAATTTTGAGACAAATTTGAACAATTTTAAATCTTTTTTAGAGCCATCTCGTAAAAATCAAAAACCCGCAGGACTTCCAATTAAAATGGATGAGGTCTTGTAATAATATGTCGTTCCTCATGTAGATTTCATTTATAGCTTTCCATAAAGGGAAATGCTATTTTATAATTAAAAGATCCAAAGAGACTTCTATAGACAGAGGATTTTTGAAGACAGCCCTTTGAGGTATTTTATAGATAGAAAGCTTTCAGTGTTTTTGTTGAATTTTGAGACCTTCTAGGAATATGAAAAAAGTGGTAGGACTAAAAATGGCCTTTGATGTCTTCAATGCGCAGAAGACTTTTGAGGCCTTCTGTTGATACATAGAATGCCTCTGAGATTTCTTTCCTCTGTTCATTGTAAACAGAAAATCGTTTCCGACTAAAAACAACTTTTATTCCCCATAAAGCAAAAATCGCCGCATTCTTTATGGAGGCCAGGAGACTTTCTATTGACAGAAGACTTTTGAGGTCTTTTACAGATAGTTTACCTGTCGATGTCTTTCATACTTTTGAGACATTTTAGAAATAAAATATGTGGTAGTACTTTCATTTAAAGATTGCTTCTGACGTCTACTATATAAAGAAGACCTTAGAGGCATTCTGAGATTCCTTCTAGACAGAAAATCTTTGAGAATAAAAAGTCCTTTGTATTCCCTATAGAAGAAACATTGCCATGTTCTTCATTGGATAGACCTTGGAGATAAAGAGATCTTTACAGACAGGTGACATTTAAGGTCTTTTACAGATAGTTTACCTGTCGATGCCTTCCAGACTCTTGAGACCTTTTAGAAATAAAAGATGTGGTAGGACTTTTATATAAAGATGACTTCTATATGAAGAAGACCTTAGAGGTCTTCTGAGATTCTTTATATTCCCTATAGAAGAAACATTGTCGCGTTCTTCATTGGATGGAACTTAGAGATCAAGAGATCTTCTACATGCCGGACACTTGTGGTCTTTTGCAGATGGAATACCTCTCGATGTCTTTCAGACTTTTGCGGCTTTTTAGAAAAAAAAAGATATGAGGAAAACCTCTGAGGCCTTCTAAAAAAAAAACATAGAATAATTCTGAGACCTTATTGACAGAAAATCCGTTATAAAAACACTTTGTATTCCCTATAAAGAAAACCTCACTGGGCTGTTCATTAGATAGACCTTTGAGGCCTTATTACCTTCTATAGGCAAATGATTATTTCTGTTCTTGTATTCAGAAAATATCATGGAAACTCTTAGGTCTGTCACAGTTTTGATTGCGTTTTGTAAGAAGACCTTGCGTAGGTACAAAAGGCCATTAACATCTTATATAGACAAGCGACCTACTTCAGTTCTTGTATTCTTAGAATGAACTCTATCTTTTATAAATTGAAAATATTTGATAGATAGAGAGAGGGGTATCCGAAGTTATGAGATCTCTCGCATCTTCATTAAACAGACTTTTCAGACATTCTGTTGTTAGCAGTTTGTACAGAGTCAAATATCAGATGTTTTATTTAGAAAAATCTCCTCGTTGTCTTAGAAATTTGTAAATTCCCTTTTGGGATTTTAGAAGGGAAAATATCTCTCAAGTCTCCCTCGTATTGAAGACTTCTAAGACCAAAAGCACCCCTAGAGTCTTTTCAAATGGGGGGGTACATTTCAGTTCCCAGATAAATAGAAATTTCTTAGACCACCTGAAGGTAGAACACATCCCAACAATTTTGGAAAGCAGTATGGACAAGGAGATTGTAAGCTAATTTTTTACAAAATATTTAACGGAAGCCATCAATTACAATTTTCGAAAGGATTGTTTGGATATATTGATATTTTACACATTGTTATTTTAAAAAAGGATCTCAAAGTACATTTACATATAATTGGGAATTTGGATAAAAATTATCATGTCCATTGTCTATTCGACAAATAAATACTTGGGGTTTTTTTTTCTACAGAAAAGTATTTTTTTTTCCTTTTTTATAAGGGCCTCATCTTCTTTTGTATGCTGAGTTTTTATAATTGTGGATTTTTTTAATTTTAAATAATAAGTTTTTAAAGTCTTTTGGAATGGTATTTTATTCCCTTTCTGGTATCGTCATGCATAAATAGGCTCTTATTATATAAAAAGTATGTAAATAGTGATAGGAATGTTTGTAAGGGTCCTTTATAATAAAGTAATGTCATAAGATCATGGTAGAAGACTACAGGTAGATGCATCAAGGCTTGGGAACATTGATATGTCAATAATTATTAAAATGTTTTGACAAAAATAAGTAAATTTTTATATGTCTTCTTTTACGACACAGATCGTGGGTTCTCATGATATGCATTTTTTTTTAGCAATTTTTACGAATTTCAATAATTTTTCTTCAAAAATCTCAATTCCAAAATTGATTTGACAGTTCATTGTCCCAACAGCTGTGTCGATGCGACTACCTGTATTCTTCTATCATGCATAAGTTCAAGCTCGTTTGGAAATCAAAAAATGTTACATTATATTCCAAATTTCTCCAAAATAGAGGAAGATCAAATGCTTGTGAGGTTTAAGCCAACAATGTCTGCGAAATGATCGAGTAAAAGGTATATTAGTTATGAGGTATATGCCAAGGTCTCTATAAGGTCGGACAGTTAGCCCATCCAGCTAATTTAAAGAAAGTCAATTCACAAAAGTGTAAAAAAAAAGGGAACTGAAAAGCAGATTATCATTTATTCATTTATAACTCGATTGAGTATTGAGTTTACATAGGGTATTCAATAGACCCTTCCAATTGCACTACAACTCCTCCTCACCTATTTGAACATACATTTCAAAATTAATTGAAAAATGCTACAGTAGGACACTTTTCGACTCACTAAATGTATTGTTTTTCACGGCTGTTTTTTTTGTTTTCATACAGGTTTTTAAAAAAAAAGCATTTCGTTTTAAGTTAAGTTTTTCTCAAAGGAAAACAAAAAGACACATACATACACAGACACACACATACATCAACGACCAGATTTACACCTTCAAGAGTGATCAGTTTATACTATATATAAATATATAATATTCATTAAAAATTATGTAATTTCATAAACGAATTGTTTGAAACACAAGAACAGTATGTTTTTTTATTTCATAACACAAACAGAGAATAGGAAATAATAAGCAAGGCAATTAATTTATATAAAAAAAAAAAACTTAAGAAAACTAAAAAAAAAACAATTAAATTTAAATTAAGTGTGGCTATATTTAGAAAGACTCTTAGACTCTCCTTTTAGGGCATAAATTAATTAATTAATTGAAAAAAAAAAACAAATTCAAAACAAATTATCTTAAAAAAGGCATCACTTTCTTTAATTTTTTTTGTTTGATTTGTTTCTTTTACTTGAATTTTCCCATTTAACAACGCTACACAAAAGGGCATTTCTATTTGTTTCTGTCTCTCCGTCTCTGTATTTTTTTACTAATTACCCTGTTTTTTAATAAGCACAATTTTTTTTAGCTATAAATATATAAATTAATTTAATTAACTATAACAAAGAAATACAAAAAAAAAGAGAAATTTGTTGGTTCGTTTTTTTTTAATATTTTAATGTGTTTACTTTGGTTTAGTTTAAGACAAATGTATGTATGTATGTATTGTTTCTCACAAGTCTTCGTTTCGTTTAGCAAAAACAAAACAAGAAAAAAGAAAAAGAAAACACAACAACAAACTAAGGCATCAATTATTTGTTTTGTTTTTTTACATACCTTCTCATTGCAAAACATAATGTCATATTACAAGTCTCTTAAAGACTCAAAAACACACACAGACACACACACACAAATAATAAGCTATATATGTCATAACTCTATCATCAAACAACAAACCCGAAACTAAATACTAAATAATAATAAATTATTAAGTATTTTCAGAGAAAAAGAAAACAAAACAACATTTTTTTAAACGATTTTTAAATTTATCAATTTTATTAACGTCGTTTTACTATTGTAAGGGCCTCATGAATAAAGCAAAACAACAATAAATGTAACATATTTTTGTAAATTATCTGTAAAGCAAAATGTAATACCACAACAGAAAAAAAAAACAACTGCATAAAAACCAACAACAACAAAGAAAAGAACTATAAACTCCTAAAAGAATAATTAAAAAACAAAAAAAGAAAAACATTTTTTTAAGGACGACATTATTTTAAATGTGGAATGTAGACATTTTTTTTTTTTTTGATATACATGTTGCATGTTAATTTAATAAAAAAAAACAAAAAGCAAACCCCAACAACAAATGTCGTACATATGTAATTGTAATATAAAAAAAAACAATAATATTAATTAATAATTATAATAATAATAAAAATAATAATAATAAAAAGAACACAATAAACAAATCATGAGCAGATGTGTTTGAAAATCAACCAAAACAACAGCAACAAATAAAAAAAAATACGCCATATTATTATATACTAAAAATATATACATACATATATATTTGTGTAATTTTGATATGTCAAATGCAGAAATATTAGAATTTATATATACACAAAAAATTGAAAAAAAAAAAAGAAATTACAAAAAATAATGAATCGTGACTCACACACACACAACCACATACACATCCCCCCCTTTTATACTACTTATAAAGGAAATGAAAAAAAGAACAAAAAAAAATTAAAATACATATACAAAAATTCCATTGTTTTTTTTTTCCAAATCGATTTGCTAACGAGGAATTGGACATATGTATGTGGGTGGATGGGGAAGATCTAAGCTAGATCATGGTGTGTGTTGGAATATTTTCTCTAATTGACCTTAAAATATATATATTTTATTTTCCACTAGTGATAGCTCAATTGGTCCTAAGAAAATTAACGGTGAGAATCTTTCCTTTTTTCGTAAAAAAAAATATTTTATGGTCTGAAATTGAACTAAGTCTTTTATGAAAAAGTCTGCCGATGATTTGTACAGCCATTGGCTGGCTTCTTTAGGAGTTTAGGGTTAACTTAGATTATTTTCGCCGCATAATTGAAACTAGGTCACCCTAATTCCTTTGTTATTTTACCAAAAAGTCAACCGGTGACACATGTCAGAATAAAATTCTTCTTCTATATTCTCACTTTAGTAGTGCGCTTAGATACAACATTTTATTCGGATTAAGCCGAATTCAGGATTTAAAAATTTAAAATTTAATTTAAACTATTTTTACATATCAATTTTTTATTTGCGGATCATGCGGGACAAAATTCTTTAAATGTTTTCTTGAGATTTTTCATTTTTTTTTAAAAATTTGTGATAAATTTTGAATTTATTGGCGTGGCCACAATCAGCATAACTCCTATGGAATTTAAATAAAAAAATTAACAAAATAATGGTTATGGAAACCCTGACATATCAAAACTTTTCGGAAATGGACGAGAGCTTTTAAAATTTTTATAAAAAACCCATATTAAAACTAATACGTTTGAATACGAACGATTTGAGTGAAAGTAACTTTTTAAAAAAAACAGACTGTTAAGGTGAAAATACATAAAACACATTTTTAACTGGCATAAGTCATCGCGTAGCATCGCGTAGAACAAAGGAGTGCAGGGCCAAAATCGAACTAAGTCAACCTACAACTCCTTTGTTCAAAAACCTAAAATGGTAAAGAATGGATAAAATGCATTATGGAATAATAGTTAAGGTGAAAATTATGTAGAGGCGCTGTTCACAACAGAGACATGTTAGCATAAAAATCATATTACAGAGCAATTTTACGAAAAACATTTTCTGTAAACCAAAAAAACTGGGCACAAAATTGTATTCCACTGACGTTTTCAATTAATTGAAAATTGCATTTTCTTTTAAAATAACTTAACATTGGTGATTATGTTGTTATGATATCGTAACAACACAGGTATTTACATCTGGTGACAATATTTTGACTCTGACTTGTACCATCTTTATACTTCTAAGTCTTTGCTTTGTTACTCTGCCAATAAGCCGGTCGTTGATTTTAGTCAGTCAAAAAAGTGTTTTATGTATTCTCTCATTTATTCAACAAACTTTACCATACAAAAATAGATCGGATTTATTTTAATTTCACAGTTCAGTTGTAGACCCGTTATCTTTATAAGAAACCGTTATTAAAATATTACACAGACAAACCTAATATTGCAATGTACAGTTTTTGCGCACGTAACGTAAAAAGCTCACACTTATACTATGTTCATACGATCTTTGTCATTTGATGACAATGATTAAACATACAAGTAGCACTGAACAAACATGGCACATTTATAAAGACATCGTCATGCAATAATATCTCATTCGACAACATCTTGTCAACTTGTGAGATGTGAATATATTTTCAATGAAGTAAATTTGACAAGGAAAAGTACAGAAAAATGCAGGAGTGGATATTATTATTTGAAATGAGGTTATTTTGATTCAGTTGTATCACGTGAAGAAAAAAATGGTGGACATAATTTTTTAAGATTTTTTATATATTTTAAATGTGGAGTGCATGATGCAATGAAATTAGTGTTACCTTATTTCATATAAGCACTCCCAGCTCTGCACTTTCTGTAATCTATCTTGTCATATTTCAATGCATTAAAAACAGTTCCCATTTCTGATTTGTGTATATACTACGGCAGAAGAATATAGTAGACGCATCGACACAGCTGCTGGGACAATGAACTGTCAAAACAATTTTGAATGATCAAAATGTTGAATGAAAAATTATTTAAATTTGTAAAAAATTTTGTATAACGCGTATTTTAAAAAATCTACTAATTTTTATCAAAACATTTAAAAATTTTTGACATATCAATGTTCCCAAGCGTTGATGTATCTACCTGTATTCTGCTACCATGGTATATCCAATGGATTAAAAATTGTTAACATATGATTGCATGACTTGCCAAAATGCCAAAATTAGATAGCCTTCAAAATCAACATTTCAGTCGATCAGAAGCTGGGAACTATGCTGCGGGATTTATTATAGGTTTACAAGCTTTTACCAGCTATTTTGGTTTTCAGACAGTGATATCGATACTGAGCGTTGTTATAATCATGATAGAAGAACAGGAACAGTGATTTTTATATGCTTTCTTATACAAAGCCAATCGGAGGTTATTATGATATGCATTTTTCAAAAGATTTATATATTTCAATCATTTTTCATTCAACATTTTTAATTTTAAAATTGTTTTGACATTTCATTGTCCCCGCAGCTGTGTCAATGCGACTATCAGTATTCTTCTACCATGGTTACAATCATGGTACAATAAAAAGGTAAGGTAGAGCTACCAGCTGATTACAATTTTTTTCTGAGTGTGCCCGACTTCTGCCAATTTTGTGTATGTATTTATTGTTTTGAAAAATGAAAAAAAAAATATTTTCAAAACCAATGAGTGGAAGACACGTACATTGCGGCTCGCGTATTAAAGTTATTAACCAGTTTTGCCATGGAATTGAAATATTGGACACTATGGATCATATTTTTGAAATAAAATCCAGACACTACATTCATCTTTCGCTTTATTTAAGTCATTTTAAAAATAAGGAAAATGTAAAATAATAATAGAAAACAACTTGTTGCATATAATATTGAATAATTCTGACAGTAAGCGAGCATAGCCTCAGAGCTGTATTTCTGTAGTTTTAAAAAGCTGTTCTATCTCCTTTTTGTACCATGGTTACAATACGAAATACAAACATGTTCACATGTGAGTCTTTTAATACATTTGATTTAAAAAATCCTTAAATGCAATCTATACAGGGTGCACATTTTCAGCTGACCTCTTTGGCAAGTAAACACGATCATTTTGTTTGTTTACAAACTGCTGGGCAACGAATGTTTTCTCGGCAATTCGGCAGTTCACCAGCGAAGCAACTCTTTAGCTCTATTTAGTATATTTTCTTTCTGTTGCGGTGTAAGTTCTTGCACTTTTGGGAATTTCAATGGCTTTACCCCGAGCTCATTTTTTAATATTTGCCGAATGGAATATTGCGATATGTTCAGTTCACGAGCCATTTTCGGCCACTGCGACGCGGGTTTCGATCAAGTCGCTTCTTTACTTTTCGAACCATTTCTGCTGATGTTGCTGTTTTCTTCTGTCCACTTCCTTGACGTCGGACTACGCCAGCAGTATCACGGTAATGAGCGATGGTACGAGACACAAAAGGTTTATTCACATTTAAATGCTGGAGTGCTCTAAGGAAATCACACTATCACCCTTGAATTCTATCACGAATAACTTTTTTTCTGAATAATTCTCAGCAAAATGCTTTTGTACGCTTGTAAACAATATAATGAGCTGTCACTGGAATAATTTTAACAGCTTTCGGACGAGTGACTTAGAAATGACCGAAATTACCCTGTAGTACGTTTACAGTTTAGTATATCTACTTATTTCTTCAAGGAAAATTTTGTGTAAAGCTAAAGTTGTAAGGGCTTTCGTAGTTTATGAATTGATTGAAAAAGGCAGATTGACAGTGACGAATATAATCGAACCTTTGTGTAAATGTGATTGTAAAATACAACTCTGATATAAAATTCAATTTGACTTGTGTTAAAGACAGGTAAGTGTGTTTTTCATAGCCCCCTTTTTATTCTTCTTTTAATTACTTTATTCGTTGGAAAAGTCTTTTTTTCTTTATGAAAGTGTTGAGTTTTCATTTTAGACCCGCGCGGCACTTTATTTGTTCTGTGATTTCCATTGTGATTTCAAATAATTCAAAATGACATATTTTTGTAACGCAAATCATGACAAATTTCAAGTTTATATGTAAACATGCTTTAAAACGATAAAAGCTTATGTGTAAACAAGCTTTAAGATTCATTCCAACTCATGGCAGAATAATAAAGGTAGATGCATCAATGCTTGGGAGCATTGATATGTCAAAAACATTTAAATGTTTTTTTCAAATATAAGTGGATTTTTATATGTTTTCTTATACTACGTCATACGGAGGCTATTATAATTCGCGTTTTTCAACAATTTTTACAGATTTAAATAATTTTTCATTCAACATTTTCAATTCCAAAATTGGTTTGACAGTTCATTGTCCCAGCAGCTGTGTCGACGCGTCTACCTATATTCTTCTACCATGTTCCAACTTGTTGATCGAATAACACTGCCTTTACACGGTGGCATTTTTACATGGCATTTTTATCAATTCTCTTTTAAAATTTCTGCGTAAATCTTCGCGCCTTTACGATAATAGTGCTGGGCATTTTTTCTGACATTTTATTTTATTCAGTATTTCGTATAGAGCTGTATTGTTGTGCTAATTATTTGTAACAGATATTTATAAAGAAGTGATTTAAAATTAAATGTGTGAATCTAAAGAAGAAATGATGGAAAAAGTTATTGTCGATCTGGTCCATATATTTATTAAAATTATTAAC